AAATGGGAAGGAGAAACAATATTATTTGAACAGTAATGCATAAGCAAGCCAAAAACACATTTGCAAACACAAATATTTCAAAAAAATCAGATAGGAAGGCAAAACACAATATGATTTGAACAGTAATGCATAAGCAAGCCAAAAACACATTTGCAAACACAAATATTTCAAAAAATCAGATTGGAAAGCTTAACTCCAGTCTGAGAAAATACAATAATCTTTGTTTACAACCACCAAAGTCCAACAACAATATGTATAGATAACCTGATTTAGCAAAAGACTAAATCCAACTGAGACAAGAAGAATGGTTTGTTCTTCACAAGATGGAGGTCAGATAAAGGACTTGGCCTCATGGGAGTGAAACCACATGGGTTACAAAGAACAAAGGAGTCCTGAAATTTGCATTTCACGAAATGGCAACTGCCCTGTCTTTTCCTTGAAATGAGGTCAAAACAAGATGGCTACTGATTATTTCAAACTCTGACCCCCAGAACAAAGAGATGTTGAAATTACACCATGTGGTTCTCACTGATGAGATTAAATAATGGCTAGTGATCTTTAAATGGACATAATGGAAACACTGGTGTAGTAGAGCAAAGTTTAAAAATACAACACAAAACTACACTTTATATACAAAATAACATTTCTATCTAGTTTACTATGAATATGGGCTTTATCCTAGAGATATCCTATTTTAACATGAGGAGCCCTCACATCATCGGCCAATGACGTAATATTTGACTTTATAGTCTGTGATTATCTTTTGCTGTTTAAACACGCACTTTAATGGGACCAAATGGGACGCTATTAATATCTAACGCACTTCCCTTCGTAAACCACCCGCAATGTCTTGGAAAAACACACAATAGTATAATCACTGCAACTTTAACACCCGTGGTGTTTTCAAATTTTTGTTAGAAGCATGCAGTGTTAGTGAACAAAGAAAAGAAAAAATAGACTCACCCTGCTTGCTCTAAAATAGCGCCACGTGTTGTCTATGCTTCTTAATTTAGCTTGTTTAACATTAAATGCACAGTTATTCTCCGGATCCGCTGGCCTCCATCAAACACACAAACTTAAAGTTTCCTGCATAAGCTAGTGAAGATTTGATTTAACCGGTTCTTCTTACCACTGTGTGTGAGCTCTTTGTTGTCTGACGAGAGGGCTGCGGATCCGTCGAACAGCTGGCTTGGTGAGTTCTCCCGGTTCGGCGAGGTCCTGTGCGTGGTTGCCAACTATTAGAAGTATTCGATGTTCTCGCGTCCAGGAGAGGAGCTTAGAATGAAGAGACTAATGGAGTCTCCGAAAAGGTTCAAATTGGTGAGTTTAATTAAATGGCACGATGATACAACAAGCAGAGGGTAAGGGAAAAGACAAAGCCGGTGATGTCTCAGGTGGCTGCAGCGAAGAAGGAGTGACTTCCAGAGCTCCCTCACCTCCCTATATCTCAGTCGTGACCCCTCCTCCTCAATGGTGGGCGGTGACGTAGGGAGGGAACTTCCCTCCTCTTTCTCATTGTCTTAGTTTCTCTGATTAGGTAATCTCTCTGAGAGTGCCTACTTCCTTAAGTCTTTTATCCTCCTTATCTCTTTCATGACTTTCTATTTAATACCTTATAAACAGCTGTAATAGTTAATTTAAAACATTGTTAGCGACATGCTACATACTGACCGGATATGAAGGAATAAAAGCTTGGCATTGAGATTGTATGAGAACTTCCGGGTTTTTTCACAATAAAACAGCTTTTAAACTGACGATATATTTTAGACTAATCAGTGGCGGCCGGTCCATAGGGGCGCTAGGGGCGCCGCCCCACCTCTTCCCATATTGAAAAAAAAATAAATAAATAATAATTAAAATTAAAATAAAAAAAAAAAATATGTTTAAAAAAATATATATGTTTTTATTTTTATTTTTAATGAACAAGATAAATATTATATAATTGGTATCAGTAAAATGTATAATCTACAATAAAATCTCGTTTAAAATTGTGTTACGATGTCTAAAGTTACTGATAAGTCACATGTTTCCTGCCTGGACTTGCCCATGCACCTTCTCTCGTCTGGGCGCTAAGAGAGGAGCCTTCCACCAGTGCAGCAGCAGCCACCAGCAGCTGACTGTTGCTATCTGTAACGTGTAAACTATGCCGCGAAAATATAATTTCAGCCAATCAGCGTCGTCAAAGATGACGGTCACCGGGCGCCAATGTCAGCGCCCAGTGCAGTCTGTGAGTAGTTTGGACAGTGACTCGTATCCGGTTGACGCAGTAGTTGATGAGGATGGCTTCGTGTGCAGGTGGAGTCTCCGGACCTTGGTCCCCGGCTAATTCTGTTCAAGAGCTAATCTCCAATCCTTTCGAAAGGAGAAGTTTGGCAGATAAATTGTTGCTTAAAGACCTTGCACCGGACCAACCCGATTTGAATATATCGCAGCAATCTCGTGAAAAAGACAACATTTATACACGAGGCTTAGTAGCTGGTACACAAGAAAGGCTTGGCTAGCTGGATGCAAACAGGTAAATGCTGTCTTTTGTTTCCCATGCTTGGATATCACTTTATATGTAGAGAGGAGGTTTCCCATGGTTGTTAGAAGTTTATTAATAAGTGGGCATTTATCACAGAAGTGATTGTTCTGTCTCCACGTTTGTTGCATTGTCTGTGATGTATTTTCCAACGGTTATAGCTCCTGTTCTGTCCCAGCAACACTACACGGTTTGCAGCTCCACCACATTTTTGGTTTATCTTCGGTGTCGCTTAAAATCTGCTTCCCATCGGACTAAAACCTCCACGTAATCTGAAGACAGATACTTGAAGTTATTTAAACCTTTTGCAAACTTTATGTTCTTTCTTGCTCTAGCCTTGCCAGTTACATTGTACATAACACATATATTATCATTATGCTAACTGGTTGTTCGTGTTAGACGATGTAGCTTTTTCATTTCTGAGTTATTGCTATATGTAAATAAGCCTGTTTGTAAATAATCCTCAGAGAAACAAAGAAAAAAACACAATTTATGACATTTTGTGCTGTGGTTATTTTTTTTAAATTGCATTTATTCACAGTTCAGTTTGAAATGCTGTAGTGACTTGTATTGAACCACTTAAATATTTATAATTAATGCTACTGAAAAAATGCTATTAATTTTATATCTCACATGCAGTTCACTGTAAAGCTACTTGGTGAAGGTGTTGGTTCATAAAACATGAACAGTTTTAAGAAAGAAAAAAACAGACCAGTTCTGAGAACACAAATTCCTGGTAAAGTAGTAGATGTTCAGGTTGATAAATAATATTTTCCACACTGAAGATTATGGAGGTATTGATCAGTCTTCTCATATTTTTAAGCCTCGATTTCTCCTTTCCCCCCCCCTCTAACATCACCAGAAGTCATCATTTAAGGGGTCATTTCTCGAAAAAAAATTCCGGGGGGAAACCCCCCGGACAGGTCACTTACGGTACGTCAAGAGCCCCACCAAAAAAAAAGACCACCGGCCGCCACTGAGACTAATTATTATATTAAACATTGATTTTAATTTCTAACACTACTAAAGCATACAAGTATTAGTTCATTCACAGAAAGGCTACATCATGCCTGTGATTTGGCCCGTGAGTCGCTCCGGACCGCCCAGTCTAAAATGAAAGCCCGATACGACAAAAAGTCAGTTGCTCGGGAATTCCAAACCGGTGGCCGAGTATTAGTTCTGCTGCCCGTTGTTGGTTTGGCCCTGCAAGCAAAGTTTTCCGGCCCGTATGAGGTGGGCCGTAAACTCAGTGGAACGGATTATATGATCCGCACTCCGGATCGTAGAAAAAACTTGTGTGTGTCACATACACATGCTTAAAATGTATGTTGATCGTAAAAGTGGCGCCGCTCAATCTCCGATAGTAACGCCTATTGCCTCTGTGTCTGTCACTCAGCCACCTTACAGCCCCAGTGATAACGGGCTGAGCGACAGGCGCGCCTCTGTGTCCTGTGCGCGCCTCGGTAATTCAGCGATATTGTCCAACCTGAATGAACATTTAGCACATCTGTCCTACTCGCGCTGGGCTGGTATTCGCAGGCTTACTCACACACAGCCACACAGACACAGGAGGAGGAAGAAATATCTGCACACAAATGACATAACGACCCAGGGTCGTAACAGTTACCCTCGGTTATAGCTCCTCCAGAGAGACCTCTCTCCTCTCTCCTCTAAATCAGTGTATCCTCGGTTACGGCTCCAACAGACTACCTCCTCGATAATCGATCCTCGATGAGCCTTAAGAAAAATTTGTTTTCCTTCGAGACGGCGCGCCGACATCCATTTCCGGGTCACTGCCGGAGGATCGAGGAGTCGAGGACGCGAACATTTGAGAAATGACAAACGGCTAATTTCAGAGGACTCGAGATGACCGGCGACCCTCCCAGACAGGCGCAAAGACGCGAGGGCCCGTCCACAACTGCGCACGACTGGCAGTTTTAATTAGTTTTATTATTCAAATTTAAAATGTATTTTCAGTGTTTATGTATTGATCACATATATTTGTTTTTCTGTCTATAGCCATATTTATAAATGTATTTGGGAGTGTGTATGGATAGTCTTTATATATCATTTTGTATTTCTCTATGTTTAATTGTATTGTTTATATATATTTTATATATTTATGTTTATTATTTATTTGTGATGTTTATATGTCTAATTTTAGTCTTTTTTACATTAGGTTCTAACTTTTTTATATATTTGTTATATATTTAGTTTTATTGTTTAAACTTTTATTATCATCTGTTTTAAATATTATACGTTTTTATGCAGTTTTATTTTTTTTCAGTGTTTTTTTTATTTAAATGTTTAATTGTTAGTGTTTATATATGTAGTATATTTTGTATCCTTACCCAGGTTGAACCTATATTATTATTGTCTGCAGGTAGAGACTGTGAGCAGGTCAACCCGTGGGGCGAGTCCTCTCCGGACGACCACCGCTCAGAGGGACAGGGACGCCCCGGGACAGAAACAAACACACCTCCAGCTGCAGAGAGGAACCTTCTGACAGCACAGGGACGCCCCGGGACAGAAACAAACACACCTCCAGCTGCAGAGAGGAACCTTCTGACAGCACAGGGACGCCCCAGGACAGAAACAAACACACCTTTTTTAAATTCACACAACATCCTTAACCCTATGCAATCTGGATTCAGATCAAAGCACAGTACTGTGACTGCCAGTCTGAAAGTCTTAGACGATATTAAGACTGCTTTGGATAAGAAATGTTTTTGTGTTGCATTGTTTATTGACCTAGCCAAAGCATTTGACACTGTCGATCACCACATTATGTCTAATGTTATGTTGGTGTCTCGTTTCGGTCACAATGCCATTTGCTGGTTTCAGAGTTATCTAACCGACCGTACTCAATGCGTCAGGTTGGGTAGTACTGTCTCTGACCCTGTCACCTTGGAGAAGGGAGTTCCACAGGGCTCTATCTTGGGGCCCTTGCTCTTTTTATTATATGTAAACAATATTTGTAATCAGATGCAATTTTCTACCTATCAAATGTATGCTGATGACACTATTGTATACTCGTGTGCTCCTTCTCTGGATATGGCCGTTTCCAATTTAAAATCAGATTTTATCACGCTGCAGCATGCACTTCTTGATTCTAAACTGCTATTGAACAGTAAGAAAACCAAAGCAATGCTTTTTGCTCCCAAGTCAGCGTCCTCCTCTTGCCTCTCCATTGACACCCTTGATGGCGTTTCTGTTGAGTTTGTTGATACCTACAAATATCTGGGCTTTTGGTTGGACAGTAATCTGAACTTTAAACACCATATTGAAGTTTTAACAAAGAAATTGAAATTTACTCTTGGCTTCCTTTTCAGATTTAAATGTTGTTTTTCAATTTCATCCCGTAAAAGGTTGGTCTCTGGCTTATTCCTGTCCCAGCTGGACTACGGTGATACAATCTATAGATTTGCCTGTCCTACTGTTTTGGCCAAACTTGACCCACTTTACCATGCTGCACTGCGTTATATATCAAATGCACCCTATAGGACTCATCATTGCACACTGTATAGCCTAACTGGATGGTCCTCACTTACTATGCGTAGGATGCAGCACTGGTTTTTATTAATGTATAAAGCCATTTTAGGTAAGCTTCCACTCTACATATGTGTCAGATTTGCCCCAGTTTGTGACTCTTACAACCTCAGATCCAGTGCCTGGATACGGTTCCAGGTTCCTACTGTACGGACTGAGGCTGGAAAAAGGAGTCTTTCTTATTATGGTCCTTGGTCTTGGAATGACCTTCAATCACGCCTTAAACTGAGGGCACTTGTCTCTATATCATGTTTTAAATTGAAGTTGTCTGAAGTCCTCACCACCAGCTGCTCTTGCAGTAACAAGTAGTGTACTTTTTTTTATTGTCCTAATGTGCACAATGTAGTGACTGCTTTTTCGTCTTTTGTTTTCTTTGTTATGTTCTCTGTATTTTATATGTTTGTGTTATGTGTAACGTTGCTGCCTTCTTGGCCAGGTCAGCATTGAAAATGAGATTTTATCTCAATGTTTTTATCTGGTTAAATAAAGGTTAAATAAAAAAATAACCTCCAGCTGCAGAGAGGGGTATCTGATGTAGCGTCTACTAATTTAAATAATGTTTCACTCACAGATTAACATAACATCATAACACAGAATATAGATGTGTGAAATGGGTTAGTACTACCTTTATTATATAATAATAATATAATAATAATTATTCATAAGAACAAAGAGCAAACATTGTTAAATAAATAAATAAGGTAAGAGTGATCCTTTATGTTATTATAAAATGTGTTTATTTGGCATATGATACTATAATAACTGATATTAAATACATTGATAATTATACATAAGCACTGGATGGAAATTACAAAAATAGGTAATTAATAAATAAATAATTTAAAGCAGATTTCCACATGTCTTGGTACTTCCTGTTTAAATGTAATTTCTATTACTTTGCATAGCCTCGCCAGCTCTATCAAACTTTACTGACAAAATAAACAGTTTTTAAGCTTTTAAATTAACTGTTAAGTTGTCACAGTTGTTTGGAGCTGCTGCCGGGTCTGCTTAAATAAACACGACAACAATCTTTTTATAATTCCCCTCACTGCCTGAACGTAGACACAGGTCCGCACTGTCTGACCACAGGGGGTTAAACAATAGCTAAGGTTTATTAGCTAAATAGCAATAAGTGGTGGTGCACCAGGAGCTACAGTGCGGGCCGCCAACAGCAATGTAAGATAGTGTCGGTGTTTCGGGTCAGAGCCGGATCCCAGCTGAATATTATCCCACACTCAGATCACTGAACTGGTAGCTTGCTAGTATTATATAGCATCTTCTTTCACTCATACAAACTTTGTTATTGTTTAGAGTGTTTAACCTGTTAGGCCCCGGGCCTGTTTTTCAGGTCTCAGGCTCGAAAATGACATGCCCAGAACAAATTACTATATCTTCACTTCTAAAAAGGTAAATCAATAATCTTTTTTTCTCAAAGCAAGGTTACATCTGTGAGTTGGATGTAGAAAAGTGAGAATCAATATAGATGTTTTTATTTTAAAGTAAATTCAGATTGAACAAAAAAACATTACTTATAGTGAAAACCACCCTTGAATGATGGGATCGGAGACTAAAAGCTTCAGGAATCCAAACTATAACATATAATAGCCGCGTTCACACCAAGTACTTTCCTGTACTTAGTTCCGGCACTCAGTGCCCCGGCGCTTTTAACCCCAGGGCACTTAGTACAGATCGCGTTCACACCGGAGTACTTTTCCCTGAGGGAAGATTACGCAAATGAGCCGCTGACGTCACTTCTTCTTCTTCTGCTTTGGCTTTACTGGCAGGCCACAAACCACTTCACGGCGAGTACAGTAGGTGGCGGTATGCACCTTAAAGTTGTTTGCAATCCGCTGCAAAAGAAGAGAAGAAGAAGAAAAACTTCCCGCGTATACTGCGACGCCCACCCACTCGCTGTACATTAGGCGTCTGTTGTTTACCTTCCGACCTCAGACATGATGGAGATGGAGTCGACTGAAGTTGTGCTGTTTGTGCTCATGTTATACAGCTTTGTAACTGAGTTAATGCAGCCTGAGCAACTTGCGTACAATAACAAAACAAGCCGAGCACGAGTGGTGGTGGAGAACGCTTTTGGCAGACTGAAGGGCAGGTGGCGGTGCTTGATGAAAAGAAACGACTGCAAGATGGACAAGATCAAAATCCAGGTGGCAGCATGTTGCATATTACATAACCTTTGTGAAAGTAATGAGTACAGGGACGAATGGACTGCCTTACCGGCGACCCAGCTTTATGAGGCATCTGAACAGCGTGTAAATTGTACATTGTAAACATTTTGACAATAAAGCTGATCTTTTGTACAGTGCTTTTGTTTCTCTCTTTTATTTTCCAGTCAAGACAGGCAACATTACAATAGTGTACAGTGTGGCAATATAATAACAATAAACTGTGCCAGGTGTGTTGTATGCACAGTAAATAGGCTCAGCAGCAAACCCACCTTTATTATTTATATATCTTCCTGAGACCCACTGCATCCGTCTGCCATAAACATACATGTTAGTTTCGGCCCATAGTGGACTCCATTTTGTGTTGTGTAAAATGGGGGGGGGGGAATTAAAAGTTTGCAAATCCCCATGTCCTCCTCAGAGGACAATCATAAAAACATTTAGTTTTAGGTCAAATAATATTTAAAATGATATAAATTATCATATGTGTGTATGTGCCCCTGCCATTCCTCCACAAGGTTGCAACATTGATGATAAATAAATGACAAATAAAGCTTTGCCAGTTTATAACCGATGAAACATGATGGTATCAGAATAATCACTTACATGTGATGTATAGGATGCTACGGTCACTAAAGATAAAGTGTCAGGAGAAATAAGCAAGATACAGGATCTGTTTAACAGTAAATAGAAGTTCACATTTTTAATGTAAATAAAATAGAAGTTGTACATGTAAATTAACATTATCAATATAAAATAAAGTGTCAGTTGTATCAAGACTATATAATAACAGTAATAACAATAATATAAAATGAACTGGTGAGCATCTTGTCCTCCGTTTCCTGGGCCTTGGTGAACAGCACCATCTGATCCCCGTGCATCGACTCTTTCACCACGGCCCGCCGGTCCTCCAACGCCTGGGCAGTGTCAAAGAAATTCACATCCTGTGCCCGCTTTCCTAAGAGGGAAAATAAGCAAGATACAAGATTTGTTTAGTCGCCATGTAGTTTTACAACATACTAGGAATGTTTTTTTGGTATTTTCACAAATAGAATTAAGGTTTCACAAATCTGAAACTGTGTTATAAAGAATGTTTAGCCTCTCTGGGATAATCCAGTCCAGATTTGATGAGTCTAGGTATAGTGGTTTTAGATCAGGACCTGGTCTAATGTGGCCAGGATGAGAAAAAGTACTAAAATCTCTCTTTTTTGTATTTTCACAAATAGAATTAAAGGTTTCACAAATCTCAAACTGTGTTATAAAGAATGTTTAGCCTCTCTGGGATAATCCAGTCCAAATAAATCGGCTATGCAGCGATTTAAGAGGTTCAAACACGGAGGATTGTTCCTTTTTGAAGAGTGCTTCATGTATGCTTGAACTTTGTTTAATGTTGTTGAGGCAAGTTAAACATAAAATATGATGAATATTAGGAAATAAACATGATTGTGAACATCAGTTCGATGCGTAACGTTCTTTCAAGACAAAGTTACAGTGTGTGTACCTTTGCGTTTGGTTGCTGGTAAGGAGGACGAGGCGCTGTGATCTCGAATGCAAAGCTCGCTTGTTTCCAATCCCGAGAGTTGTCCATCCTCGCCTGAAACAGACGATTAGTGCCATGAGTTAGTGAAGCAAATTACAGAAACACTACACAGTTATTCACAAGTCAAAACGTTTTCATAGCCGAGAATATCTAGCTAGCTAGATGTAGCTAGCTCGGGGCCGGTGTTAGCCTATTCAGACTAGCATGGCTAGCTTGATCTACTGAGCAAATAAAAGTACATCTGAGACCATTATTGTGCAGATTAAAACCCCAGTGCATGTAGTTGATTTTACCTTCGTCGTGGTCGTCATCGTTGGCCACTGAATCCGCCGTTTGTAGTCCTGAGTTTCTTTATTTTTAGCCGGTATGCCGTGGCGCTGTGCACGATTCCCAGGTCGAGTGAAAGCTACTGAACTGGCTTCAGTAGCATTCCCTGGGTCGCGTCCTCGGCGTAGATCTCCAGAAGCGCCGACACCCTCCTCATCATTTCTTGATGCTTGCCATAACTGCTTTCAAAACAAACCCTGTTTTTATAGCGAGGAAAAACAATGGCGTCTCCACACAACATTTTCAGAGTTGTACGGGCATGGTTTGCAATTCGCCCAGCCAATCAGCACTGGGGCACTTTTGGGGCACTTTTCACCCACAGAAAAGTACGCTCTCCCAGCGGGCTCTAAAAATGGGGGTAAAAGTACCCGAGATTAAGTACGATTTTTGGTGTGAACGCGACATAAGGGGTACTCACGGAACTAAACGCGAAAAGTATGGTGAAAAGTACTCGGCTAATAAGTACCCTGTATCAAGATTGATGCAAATCAAGTGACATTTGACCTTTTTAGAGAGGTTTAGGAAAAGAAAACCACTTCTGGGGTAATTTGGGTGTATTTGCCATATCTCTGGAACCCAGTGGTCGATTTTGAACCGTTAGAGCCAATCGAATCGAGGGGGGGTTCCTAAATCCACCTACACGTTACCATTGATAAGTGAGAGTGATGCGCAGCCAGCATGCCTAAACCGAAAGCTATGTTACACTCTGAAAACTGAAAACGGCTCATTGCCATAAATATGATGATGGATTATCAGTAATCATTTCAAAGGGACACAGAGACATTGGATTAACCTTCAGCACCGTTTATCTAAGTTGTAATGCCATTGAACAGAACTTTTGATCAGAAAACAGCAAAGGTAAGACGTATTACACTTAGATCGTTGTTGAATTAGATGAGCTTTATTCAATGGTCCAGACGACATACAAACAGGAGCACATTTCTTCGCTTCATAGTAAAATAAAGTTATCCGTCTCAAAAAGAACATAAAGAACACGGTCAAAAGACTTTTCCGCTTCCCCGTCTCATCACCATCAGCTGTGTCCAACAACCTACCATATATAGGCATATACCCATGCACGTGAGACTGACGCACATATCATAACAAATAAGTGAGCCTTAAATTAATACATTTTAAACCATAGTGTGACTCACAAAAATACCTGATAAGTGAGAGTTTAATCTAATTTATATTATTATTAAGCGTAACATTCAGACAATAATAACAAAAGGAAAATGGCTCTAACACTCTAGATCTGAGTTCCTGGCTGGTTCTGGTCCTCCACAGTCCTCTCCATCAGCTTCTGTTTCCATGTGTTCAGCTGAGCTGCTGGCTGGAGGCTCTGCCTCTCTGTTCTCCTCAGTTTGAGTTTGATGAAGCTGTGAGGACTGACGACCAACACACTTATGGCTTTTGACCGAACAACTCCGGATGAATCTTTTGTCACAAACACTGCAGCTGTATGGTTTCTCTCCTGTGTGGATTCTCATGTGTTTCTTTAAATCTCCAATCCCTGCAAAACATCTCTTACAAATTGAGCAGCTGTATGGTTTCTCTCCTGTGTGGACTCTCATGTGTTTCTTTAAATCTCCTCTCTGTGCAAAAGATTTCTCACAAAATGAGCAGATGAATGGTTTCTCTCCTATGTGGATTCTCATGTGTTTCTTTAAATCTCCTCTCTGTGCAAAAGATTTATCACAAATTGAGCAGCCAAATGTTTTCTCTCCTATGTGGATTCTCATGTGCCGATTTAAATGTCCTCTCCGTGTAAACGTTTTCTCACACGAAGAGCAGCCAAATGTTTTCTCTCCTGCACTACGTCTTGAATCACTGACAGGGTCTTGTTTATTTCTCTGAGACTTTGAACCTGGTTCTCTGGTCTTCTTCCAATCAGCCCTGTCTTCAGTGTCAGGTTCAGAAGAGTCTCCAGGGTTGTCCTCAGTCTCTGGTTGTAAATGTCTCTCTGGATCTGAGTTCCTGGCTGGTTCTGGTCCTCCACAGTCCTCTCCATCAGCTTCTGTTTCCAGGTGTTCAGTTTGTCTTTGATGAAGCTGAGAGGACTGAGGTTTCTCTTCATCATCTTCACTCTTCACAGGGACAGGAGTGAATGTGGACTTGTTATCAGCCTCCTCCAGCCCTTGAAGCTGCTCTCCCTCCTGACTGCTCCAGAGTTCCTCCTGTTCCTCTTTAATGTGTGGGGGGGGCTCTGGGTCCTCCTGGTCCAGACTGGAGCTCCACTCCTGCTGCTCAGGGGGAACCTCTTCTTTAACCACCACCAGCTGCTGGACGTCTGCAGGAAACAGAAAACACATATTCAGAGAAACTCTAGATTAATAGAATTTAAAATCTTACCACGAGTAACACTTCTTTAACTTTGCAGCCCTTATCCAATCCATATTTTAAATGCTTTTCCAGATGCCCTGGAGAGTTTCAGGACAACAGGTGAGTTAGTACGGTAGCTGATCTAAAACGTAGATTCACTGCCGCTTAGCAAGGCGTCGGCCGTTCACGGAGTGTGAGGGCATAGCCTTACAGTTTGTGACCTGTCTGCAGAGTCGTTAGCTGAGAACTGGTGTTGGAGTTTCTCAGAGTAGTCGTTTAGCATCTCTCACCGCCTTGCTAAACCTGTACTTGGACTCATACAGGTGCATCTCAATAAATTGGATATCATGGAAAAGTGAGTTTATATCAGTAATTCAATTTATAAAGTTTAAACTCATACATCACATAGATTCATCAGATACAAAGGGATTATTTCCAGCGTTTTAATCTTGATGATTGCGGTTTACAGCTAATGAAAGCCAAAATTCAGCATCTCAGAAAATGTGAATATAACATAAGACCAATGCAAAAACTGATTTTTTAATAATATAGAAATGCTGGCCTTCTGAAAAGTATGTTAATGTTCCTGCTGTCAGTACTTGGTTGGACTCCTTTAGCATGAATAACTGCATCAATGCGGCGTGGCATGGAGACTATCAGTCCAGGGTTCCTGCAGGTTTCGCCTACTCAAATTTAAGACTTTTTAAGACCTTTTTAAGACCACTTTGAATAGAATTTAAGACCTATTTCACGGCAAGAAAGTATGAAGGAAAATTGCTATGAAAGAAGAAATACGTCCCATAATTACTTACAAAGTAAATGTAAAGGCATAACAGTACAGAACTGTGTTAGCGTGTTAGACAAAAAGTGTATGTGTGTGTGTGTCTGTGTGTGTGTGTGTGTGTGTGTTAGGGGTGTGCAATTAATCGTATTTTAATCGCAATTACGATTTTGGCCTGCCACAATTACGAAATTATTTTGCTTTGCTAGGTTGTGACAGTGCACTACAACATATTTGATCTAATTAATTTTAGTCTAATTTATCATATTTATACATGTTTAATAGCTTGTGGAAGTGCGCTCCAAAATATTTGTTGATCTTGTTTATTGGTATTTATTATTTTGATATTATTTATTTAAATGTATAATTTATTTAATTTATTTTTGTATTGGTTTTGCAGTTGAATTATAGGTTCAGGGTAATCAACAGTTAAAAAGATACTGTTCAAATTATTATTTGTTTTAAAGTTCAATAAATGGATGTTTTCAAAGTCAATGAATAATCGTATTTAATAATCTTGATATCAATTATTGACCAAAATAATCGTGATTATGATTTTTGCCATAATCGCACAGCCCTAGTGTGTGTGTGAGAGAGAGAGAGAGAGAGAGAGAGAGAGAGAGAGAGAGAGAGAAGAGAGAGAGGAGAGAGAGAGAGAGAGAGAGAGAGAGAGAGAGAGAGAGAGAGAGAGAGAGTGTGAGAGAGAGAGAGAGAGAGAGTGTGAGTGACAAGAGCTATATTCAGAGCTCTGCTGCCTTGGCTACAATCTTTCATCGTTGCTGTTGTATGATCGGTGTTTAGCTACGGTATTTAGCGTCTACAGCACCTCCGCTTTTAGGGTTGACGTACACCCACACGTCGCCCAGAGGTCCGCCGGTGTTGTTGCAGGAGCTGCTGCACTAGCTAACGCTACATTAGCATACGCTACTTTCTTTTGCAAAAGGTGCAGCGGGCTTCAAACACGTTCCCCTCCCCTGGTTTCAACCAAGCACTAAATTCGATGTTTTCCAACCAAATACGGTTGAACTTACACTTCCCCATATTTATTTTTAAGTAGATTCTAAGATACATGAGTTTCTGACTGCCGCTAGCTGAAGCTTGCTAGCTGGGTGTTCTCCAATAAGGGGCCGGGGGGAAACAAAGTTAGTGATTACTGGTTCCATGTTGATTTATTTCAATACAAATTGTTGGGGGGAACTGAAAGGCTCTTACCGTACTGGTTACTTTGCAGCCCGGACATTTCCCCCAAAACACATTTAGACGCGATCTCAACACAGAAGTACCTTTCAAATCCGATCATTTTTAAGACCTTCTAAATCATATTTAAGACCTTTCTTATTTTTTTGGTCATATTTAAGACCTTTTTAAGGCCTTAAATTCAGATTATCAAATTTAAGACTTTTTAAGACTTTTTAAGACCCCGCGGGAACCCTGTCAGTCTGTGGCACTGCTGAAGTGTGATGAAGCCCAGGTTGCTTCACTAGCGGCCTTCAGCTCGTCTGCATCGTTGGGTCTCGTGTGCCTCCCCTTCCTCTCGACAATACATAGAATCTCTACAATAATAATTCTCCAAATTCTGACTTTTTCCCAAAATGTTGACTTTTTCTAAAATGCTGCAAAGTCAGCAACATTCTGACTTTGTTTCTCAGAATCCTGACTTTTTTCTGGAAAACTCAGAATAATTACGTTTTTCTCCAAAGTCTGACCTTTTTCTAAAATGCTGAATTTTTCAGAAAATCTCAATATTCTGACTTTTCAGATAACCTCAGAATTTTGACTTATTTTTTTAAACCACACAATTCTGAATAACTTTCTCAAAATCCTGACTTTTTCCCCAAATGCTGACTTTTTCTAAAATGCTGAATTTTTCATAAATCTCTACAATCTGGCCTTTTCAGAAAACCTACGAATTTTGACTTTTCATTCAAATAAAATAAATCCATTATTTTCCTGACTTTTTTTCTCAAAATCTTCCCTTTTTCCAAAAAACATCAACATTTAGACTTTTTTCCGCAAATCTCATAACTTATTTGTCCAAATCCTGACTTTTTTCTAAAATGCTGAATTTTTCAGATAACCACTTCTTACAACCAAGGTTTGCACAAGACCATTTCTGCTGCGACATTCAGGCGGTAGGGTCAGAAGACATGAGTGCATGGATCCATCCTGCCTTGTATCAACGGTGGGGGGGATATTTTCTTGGCATACTTTGGGCCGCTTACTACCAATTGATCATCGTCTAAACGCCACAGCCTACCTGAGTGTTGTTTCTGACCATGTCCATCCCTTTATGACCACAGTGTACCCATCTTCTGATGCTACTTCCAGCAGGATAACACCCCATGTCACAAAGCTCTAATAATCTCCAACCGGTTTCTTGAACATGGCAATGAGTTCACTGTTCTCCAATGGCCACAGTCACCTGATCTAAATCCTATAGAGCCCCTTTGGGATGTGGTGGAAAGAGAGATTGGAATCAGCCGACAGACCTGCCAAAATCTCTGAGGGGTGTTTCCAGCACCTTGTTGAGTCTATGCCACAAAGAATTAAGGCAGTTCTGAAGGCAACCCCTTCTAATCAAAAACTGTATAATTACTCCAGAAATATGAAAAAAAGAGCGTCAGATGGCTGAGACAGCAAAAAAGAGTCTTTGAGAGGTTTGCCACCCAGAAGGAGAGAAGAGCAAAATTCCTCTACGTATACATACATATATATATATACACACATATACATATACATATATATACACATACATACATACACATATATACACATACATACATACACATATATACATATATATATATATACACATATATATATATACACATATAAATACATATATATACACATATATATACATATACACATATACACATATATATATGTATATATATACATATGTATATATATACATATATATACATATACACATATACATATATATACATATACACATATATATACACATAT